GTTATGGAATGCAGTTGTCTTAAAAGTGTCCATTCGCAACCGGCTTTCACTGAAGGCCACTACACCTTCCGCCATTGGTCAAAGTGTGGAGTGATTGGTAATGAGGTTAGCGGGTACGTCCCATCCTTCCGGATGAAGGCGGCCTGAAGCTGTTGCCGTAAGCAGAGGCAATATTACTCGGTCCCATTTCGTCGCTCTCCCAACTATCTGAATGTTTCGGTCGTTTTGATTAGTGTAAGTCGCAACAAACTAAAGAGTACTTGCTACACCCTTTCCTCTGGTCATAATCATCTACCTTTTGCAAGGCGCGATACAGCAGATATCCTATCTCATGAAATGTTTACCAAAATTCTGGAATGCGTTTTCTATTGGAAAGGATCACTTAAGTAGGGTTGTAATATTAATTGTCATGCGGCATAGTCCTGGGATATTTCAGCCACACCCGTATGCCGACTTTTAAATGAGTTTCTTTTTGTCCCTCTGCAAAAATAGCTACTTAAGTGGTACGAGTTTTTCCCATTGAGTTTTATCCCCTTATAAGTCCAAATATGTTATATAGAAAGAATTCCCAAAAGTATCCTTTCTTACACTCATTTAGTAGCCATTTGCGCCTTCGAATTGTCTACTTCACGAGAAGGTGTCTTTCTGTTTTAAAAAAGTTTCTAATTATGAGATTTTTTAAGACTGTGAAATGTCCATTCCTACAGCAACGCATCAGCACGTTAATGCTACTTAAACAGTACACGGTCTAGTCCACATCCATTGCGCAATTTTTTAAGCCCTATATGACGTCTTCCTAACGGTGTGAAGTGTGATTTTTCTTTGACGGAACGTATACGGTGTGTGTTTTGGAAATCCTGAATACAAGTTGAACGGCAGATCAGGTTCGAAATTATTCGAGAATTGGAGAACTTTTTAAAAGCCGAAAGATACCCCCTCTTTAAGTAGATTTCCGGAAGACTTGTACAAGACAAACGAATCACTGTCACAATTTCGTTTTCTCATTCTGGATCCTGGTTCCTTTTGGTTTACCAGGAACATACTAGCCACTGTCACTTGAAAGTAGTATATGTCTAGTGGACTGACAATTCAGGATGTAACTCCCCCATTAAGTGCACATAATTAGGGCATTTAAATGTGAACGCGTGTCTACGGTGCACTCATGTTACTTTGCATCTTTTCGGCATTTTAACTTCCCTAGGATTCCCCCATACTTAAAGAAGGCCGGTTTGGAAAGATTCAAATTCTAAGCAACGGCGAGTCACGACTTGTCGTCTCCGACTCGACCTTCCGTCTTCTGTGTCCCAAGCCTACGGAATGTTCTTCCGTAAGTTACCAGTCATTATACCTTCCATATTTTCGTTTGAGTTTGTCTTGTTCCTAGTAAGGTCTCAAGTCTATCGAAAAAAGGAAATATTTGGTAGACTACAATGCCTCACTTTGCTGGGTTGATCGTCCATCCCACCAACGTTAACTTGATCTCTTTCTGTTCTGGAGGGCACGGTGTGGACTGCCCTGTGTGACTTGCCTGTTCATGTGCTGCACATTTTCGAGCCCACTAGGGGAATCTGAACCTTTTTAGCCGTTGTATTTGCATGTTTTTGGCGCTGGAACTTCTATTGTTAGTTTGGAAGACGCCCACGTTGCAGACATTTTCATTATTAACTGTCTGGAAATAGAGCAGTTACGCAGCCTTTGAGGGCTTGTTCTTAGATTTGTCGCCTATTCTCTAGCTGGGCCTTTGTAAGACATCTGAATTGTAATGTCGCGGTACCAAGGAAAGTTCTTTTATTGGCGCCTCGTAGTTCCTATTGCTGTTGTGCCATCATGTTTACGCCTTACCATGGAGTGGCTGGTGCGCCATACCCTCACCTTTCTTTGTTCCAATCACACAATCTCTGCCGGTCTCCAAACACAGTGTTACTCATACCATGGTTAGCCTTCGATGATAGCCCTTTCGTTATCCGCCGCCCGTAAGTGAGTTGGGTAGTCAACAGCCAGTCTGACAGTCCTGGCTTTGCTGTTCTCCGCAATGCCGGCCTGTTTCCAGGATCAGGATCAAGAACCAACTTTAACACGGACAACCATGCAGTTGATTGAGGAGTTGCCTAAACCGATCCGACTCTTCTAGACACTGGCAGAGACTACCAGACTACAGTGAGGGAGCATGCCGCTATCGCCCCTAAATTCAGTGTAAGACCGCCCTGCCGGACGATAGCTAATATTTGGTCGCCAACGGAAACGACACGATGTCAGCAAAATGCTCTTGCGGCCGTGCGTGCGGTGGCCAATCATGGATTGGTTCCCACGGAATGATGCTTGGTTCGTGCGTTCTGAGAAGGTGGTCACTACACAAAGTTTGCCGGTAGAGGCTAGCGGACGATTATGGTAATGGAAAAGGCTAGAGTTCATTGCCACGATCTTGACTTCCCGTAGCTGGGGGTCTGGATTTTGGGCCTCGGATAAGCACTAAACACCCGGACTGTTGGTGAAGATTCCCTATTGTCGTGGCCTTGGTACAGGCGTTAAGAAACGTCCGCATCTTCCACCATTCACTTCTGGGGCTCAGTTCTCGACTGAGTGGTCCGGTTTGTGCACTTCACTCACACAACTATGAGTAAAATTCACAAACAGCAACGACATTTGTTCATCTCAAATGTCCCTTTTACCTCAAACATTGTTGACTAAATATTCAAGGTGAATGCCTTGCGGTCCTCTCGACCCGTTACTTGGGTGGTAGTGCTAATCGGCCCGGTTGCTTTCCATATTTGTCTGGTATATTGCTCCCTCTTAAAGCTCCCAAGGGCGTCCTCAGTGCTGAATGAAATCGAAAAAAGTAAGTTTTATTGCAAATGGTTGTAAGTTGAAAACTTGGATGGTGTGGCCCTGCGTCTGTGTGTTCTTTTGGATGAGCGTTCTGCCATCAGGCAGCATGTCTAGTTTACACTTCAGTAAGAATGTCTCGTGTAAAAGACAGTTTTCATCCTTCCTAAAGTTCACACGAAATTGACCCTCTTAGGCTCAAACCCAGATCTCATGCGTGGTACCGAACGGAGCCATGATAGCTTCTGTCCGCAACTCATTTTATTTGTTTACTACTCCCCAGACGTTGCAGCAGGTTGGGCGGGTAACTTAACCCAAATGTGATTAAACTCGCGTCGTCCGGCTGGGCCTCGTAGCTCAAGTGGTTAGAGCGTTGGCTGTACTAAAGCCTTCCCCTTACTGCGTGGGTTTGGATCCCACCGAGGCGCCGAGTTTTTCACAGTTGGGTCAATATGTGACTCATGCTTGCTTCGGAATGGTCACGTTCACGGGCTCTTCAAAGATTCCAACGTTCATAGAACATTCATTGCAGTTGAGTAGTAGAACGCACCCGTTGAAATTATTCTCTGTTTATTCCTAGGACGTCCTTGTGGTCGAGGAACAGGACGATGGGATAGTGAACCTCACCTCTCTCGGTCACCTGGACCAGTTTGTCTCAGCAGTGCCTGACCTTGAGCGCTTCTCTCGGTTGGGCAGGTAGTTTATCGTCCTGTCCCATCCGCCTTCCCTTCATCAGACTGCTTCCAAATGTACATTGCTTTACCGCCTTGTTTCCTTTCTGCGCCTCATGTAACTACCTTTGCCTCGATTTCAATCCCCAACTGTCCAAGTCTTTCTACCCGCACGTCTGTCGTGGGTATAGCCGTTTCATCGCCCCTTTGTACAGATCGAATACGTGTAAAGTATTATTTCAATGAAAGTTTTTTTACGTCTGAAAGGCCGTTCTTTCCTGTTGCACTTTCCGCAGTGTTGCAAAAAGTAACTTTCAAAGTATGCCCCTTCGTGAAACTACCACCCCGTCTTTGAAGCGGATTTTCGATAAGTACGTGAATGTGAGTTAAAGTTGACAATCAAAGGCTTTCTATTGTCGTGAGTCCATTACATTTCTTTAGTTGCTTCGTTACCGTGCTATAGGTTTGTGGGAGTTTTTCACGGTGCCCATGCACGCTTACTATGCGGGTTTCGTACCTCCGCGAAAGGTTGCGTCCTGTACCATATCCCCTACAAATGTAATATGGGCGAGAAGCGCCTTGTGGTTAAGTTGCGGCATGCCCCCAAACCGGGCAGGCGGTAGATGCACTGGAACAACACAGGGGGCTAGATCGGGACCCGGCAGGCGTCATCGGGAATGCGCACCCATAACAAACGCCAGCACTAGGTTGTGGTGACAGGTCCAGTTGCTGGCTCGCCTCGCGACTATTGGGATCCGTTCCTCCCACCTATTTTCGTGGTATGGAATCCTGGTCGGTGTTCGTTGTGGACCGTGGGGTGTGGGGTGTGGTGGCGCGCCTGGGTGCGGGTTTCCGCCGCGCCAGCCACCTAGGGCCTCTCGCGTCTTTTTGACGCTGTCTTGACACCGGATCCAGGTGGAGTAGGAGTGCGGTAGAGACTGCCCTGGTCTATCATTTTCAACTGATCAGAAAAAGAAGATGCGATCACTGAAGCAAGAAGTTTATTGACCTGACGTTTTTGATTCTCACTCGAACCCATCATCAGAGACGGTCGCTGATAAAGGTCGCATGTCACCGCCCCTGGTCTCACATTGCTGTGGAGCACACGATGGACATGGTCAAAATCAGCAGCCGAACTGTCGGTTAAGTTGTTGGTGAAGGCTAAAAGTATGATTTAAAAAGATGGCAGTATTACCAGCGGCGGCCGGACCTGTTATCCTGGGTATCGATATATCTTTATTGGGGCCGTAGCCACTGACAGACCCCTATGGAAAATCGATCCCCTCCTGTAGTGGTGCGGCTTCTGCGTCGTGGTTGAACAAATACCATTTTTAGTCCCACTTTTGGCAGAGCTCAGTATTCATGTCTGGGAAGGATAGGGTGTGTAACCCCTTGGGTGGTTTTTCAAAAATTTACCCCACTTAAGTAGGTGTGACGCGGCCCCAAGGCAAAACGTGACGAGCGAGTCCCGTAGCGCGATCGGTGAGCGTCCCTCTACCATTGTATATGCCCGATCGCGGCGGACAGGACAACGAGCCCGCGGCTCAGTGGTTAATACGTTGGACATTAACCAGCAGGTCGCAGTATCGAGCACCAGGTTTTCAACACTTCGGGGTTGACTATGGCTGGCTGACGACGGCCAATAAATCGGAAATGGCCATTCCATCCTCCACTGTCTTTGTCGGTAAGACTATTGCGTGGTTCGTAACGGTTTGCCTGACGAAAGGTCGGCAAGCGAGTCATGCGGCACGCGGATTTTCATTTTCACTAACGTAATTGATGTCAAAGTTGCTCGCATCAAGCTGAAGATTAGGGTTTGGGAAACGGTTGGAGTTAGGGTCAGTATTGGGAGTTGGGTTCTTCCTGGGGCTGAGGTTGCCAGGCTAAGGTTGGGGTTTATAGTTAAAGTTTGGAGTTTGGGCTACGGTTTTAAGATTTGGGTTGGGGATATAAGATCCAGCTTAAGGTTGCGGTTGCGTTTCAGTTTTCCTTAAATCCATACGGGTTAAAGGTTAGGGTTGCCCATTACAGCCACGGTTATGGTTGGCGTCAGGGTCATAGTTAACTGTGGTTTTCCCAAGGAGTTACATACCATATCCTTGCCTCATGTCCTTTCCTGACAGAATTTCAAATTTCAGCGGGGAGAACTTGGTAAGGAATATGAGACATTACGGCGAACTCGTTTAGTACGGGTTGAAAATGTAGGAATTGAGGTTAGAGTTGTGGTTGGAATTCAGGTCTTAGGGTTTGGGTCACTGTCAGAGTTAGCGCTTAGGGTTGGAGTTAAGGTTCAGGCTTCGGGTTTAGAGTAGTGGTGGGAGCGGTGAGGGTGATTATGTGAGGGGGTTAGAGTTGGGGTCGGGCCATTTTCAGTGTCAGTGAATTAGTGTCGGGCTTAATACGGGTTAATGTTTAGGTTTAGGAGTTTAAGGCTAGCGTTGACCTGAAAGTTTTTCGTTAGGGTTAGGATTAGGCTTACGGTTGGAATTAACTTTTGGGTTTGGATCAGACTTAGTGTTTAGAGTTAGGATCGGGGTTAGAATATACGCTTTCTAATACAAATGATTGCATTTATATCAGCAAGAATGATCAAAGCTCCAAGAATGAAAGCAAGCTGGATACAGGTATTAACTCGCGTGACTAACGGCTAAGGGATATCGCAGAGCTACAAACGTTCAATAAACCACACAGTTTAGTAAATATTGCTTAAAAAGGAATCCGCATGATGAGACAACGGGAGGTCAGAAAATACCAGGCGACTTTGGGGCTTTGGAACGAGACAGGACATAGTGAGTGAATTGAATGGCATCTAAGAGTACTCCTCCGTTTTTTAGAAAAAATATAATCTCAATCACAAGTTTGAGCAGATTAGCTTCAGCGAAGTGCTACTGACGGACATCGTTAAGATGTATTTGGTACTTCAAAGATGTTTTAGCAGATTTTGAATAATTCATACTGACCCAACTGTGAAAAACTCGGCGCCTCGGTGGGATTCGAACCCACGCAGTAAGGGCAAGGCTTTAGTATAACTAAACCTTCTAACCAATTGAGCTACGAGGCCCTGCCGGACGACGCGAGTTTAATCCCAGTTGGGTTAAGTTACCCGCCCAACCTACTGTAACGTCTAGAATTTACCAAATCTGATACAGTAAGCTGACTGCCGAAGCAGGATTTCCTATGAAATCCACCTAGAATCCACCAGATGACTAGCAGGCTCACGTAATTCATGGATGTTTTGGCAGATTTTGAATATTGCTACGGTCACATCCCACAGAGTGAAAGTTATAGTTTCGAGAACTGTCCCGGTCAATGCCCGGATGGTTGGGAGCGGAGCGGTCGGGTTTTTAATAAAAGTTTTGGACAGGAAAGCGTTGAAACTATCAGCGGTCAACTGGACATTAGCCATGGGATTCCCGAAAACGTCTCGGGGGCTGGGATGCTACGCTTCTCACTGGGTTCGCACTTTTCGGGCGAAAAGTTTCGAGAAATTTAACAAATGGTTTTCGGTGAACTGGACTTCTTCAGTTAGCTATTTTTCTTTGGACGATCTCCTAGCCCGCTCAAAAATAGCAAAAATCGGGGGCAGAATGGAAACGTCGTTCTGAAGATCGAATCGAAGAGAAAGTCTGCGCAACCAGCGGCGAAAGGGTAAGGGTAGGAAAACCTCATCCCCGACATTAATTCTTTTCTTACGGGTCTTTTCCGATAAAAGGTGCAACAAAACTTAGGATAATGAGCTGCAAAGTGTTTGGGATATCTCGCATCTACTGTAGGTATTTACTGTCATGCGCCGGGTTCTTGTTCTGCGTGAGTAGTCTACGTCAACTCGCCGTCCAAACGTTCAATCTTTCTCTCTTTCATCGTCGTCGTTTTGCTCCTATCACTTCCCGCTCACGGCCCACACGCATTCGTATAGTCAAGAAACGATATTGCAAGGCGTTCGAAAAATCCTGCTGAACCAGCCTTCGTCAGAGACCACGAAAGTCCTCTTCACCATTTAACTCGCGACGTTGTCTGTTTTCGCTTTTAACGGGCTTCGTGTCTGAACCCCAATGGTCTGCGCTTCCACACGCTGTAGGCAGCTTATGTAGATAGTAAATGGTCTTACTTGTGTATCTGTTTCAGAATAACACATATACTTAACTCGAAAGTCAGTTTGCGACTAGTGTTGAAATAACTATACAGCATAGATTAAGCAAGCCGCAAAAAATCCATCATAAATCAATGCGGGGGTAGTCAATGTTATCTTAACTTTGAGCAACTATTAATAATAAAAGTGAGTCTCAACCCCTGCGTGCTCAGAGGTAAAACTGCCTCCCGAGGAATGACCACAAGTTAGAACGCAACTTGAAGGAGCGTTTTTATGCTTCATTCTTTTCACAGAAGGCGGAGAGGTGAATACCAGCTCGGAGCTGAACGACGAATCTATCCACGAGGCAGCAGACAGCGACGGTGACCGGGGTTCTCACAGGGACGAGACGGAGGAGTGGGGGCTTAAGTCCGCATATGCCACCACCGCGGAAGATGACTTCGGTGGTTACAGCGCCTAAAGTTTTCGGAAGCCATCGCCAGGTCTTAAAATGAACAACGTTTATTCCTCGTTTCGCCTTTCTTAAAAAACGGATGATAATTGGCATCGAATGTGGTCAACCCGCTGGTGGATAGATCCGGCGATCAACGCAGAATGAATAGTCACCTCCATTGTGTCTGGCGTTCGCGCACACCTTCACTCCCAATGACTTACGCTGCCACTTTTCAAGGACGTTACAGACACACTTCCAAAACCGGGGTAGCATAATTCGAATCTAGCTAGTTATCCACCTTGAGTGACAGTCTTGTTGGCCATAAAAATAAGAGCGAGCCACGTGATCTCTGAAAGTATTTAAAGGTCTTGAATTTAAAGTGACACCTGAAGTTCGGCACAAGTATTTGCCACTGTCTCCTTGTTTAAGATCAATTTACACCACCAAGTGATACCACGCTTGTAAAATGGCCTTCAGTATAGCGATCACTAATGTTGCACATAGTGCTTAATAATTGCGTAGATTCTTGGGCTGGAACAGCCTGTCCCACAATTATAGGAGCATCTGTTTTTAAAATCCAATTTCGACGAATTTCCGTGAATAGGCCCGTTTTTGCATGAAAAAGGAGGAGTGGGCACCCTTCAGCGTAAACAATGCCTTATGACAAGAATGGTTTAATATAATGTCGAGCAGTAAGAGTGCTTTAATGATGGCTGTTCCACAATGAAATGACTACTCACACTGCGGTGCCACCGTTTCAATTTAAAAGGATGTATGGTCTCGATTTCGATTCAGACTTCCGGCGTATCGTTTATTCATATTTTTTATCAAAACTTTAGGTTCTAATTTCCTCAGGGCATCCCATATTTAGTGAATTGTCCCCTTTCAGCTGATCTTTCGACTGATCAAATTGATTGTTGCAAGATACACACATACATACATTCTCAATGGGGTTATGTACGGTGCCCAGCGACAGTCAGGCAACAGTATCATCTGCTTGAGCCTTTATCACCGTTGTGTCCTCTGAGCCGTTTATATACTACGGTTGCCTTGTTGAAATACCGCGTGCTCACCGCTGCAGCGGCTTACAAAGAACAATACTTGCACAGAAAGTATGTCAGTGCATGAGAGAACGGCCCAATTTTCCTGTAGAAACATCATTTATAAATTCTTGCACATCACACTGCCGACTGCACAGGACTCTCCAGTGCGGATATCGGGTTCTTCGGGCAGACCACACCAGCAATAGTTCCAACTGTACGTATCATCCGAATTACATTTATTTTCATCGGATAACACTGCCCCGTACTCCTGATTTGTCCAGGTGACGTAAGTCTTAGTGCAACGTGTCCGTTGTTGCTAGTGTTACGAGGTGTACGGCAGTGTTCGTTGAAGTTTCCAATAGTCGGATAGCAATAAGCTCCTTACAATAGTGGCATAAAATCTTGATTGGTGATGTATGCGCTACTGGTTCTTGCAGAGGTCTCACCTAGTACTGCTCTCTTCACCGGAAGTGTGTACATCCTCCACCTTCCGGGTCGTTCCTTTTTGCAGTACTCCTCACGAGCTGAAATATAAGTATTAATTATGCTATTCGATCTCTTCAGACGTCGTCCAATGCCTTTACTGGCAAGACTAATCTCGCACAACATCGAGACCTCACCTCTCTAAAAATTCGTCAGTTTTACACATCTGGGCATTGCTAAAAGAAGAAAAGTGGCTGCAGCTAACGGATTTGAGGAGCAAATCACCCGGTTGTCTTTACCCTATTAGTTTGCCGCGGGACGACGTTCGGCGTCCTATACCTTGTCCCCATTACCATCAGCACCCCTACGCCTAACGATATGGACTCGGCCTATACCCGTCCTCATTGCGATTGCACATTCACCTCACTTGTGAATCCATCGCACAGAGACTGGCGAACCAGCGTCTGGAGCACCCACATACGCTTGCCGCATTCGCTCTAACTGCCCCCACTGATGCCGCACATCCATTCACTGCATGGGCTTACCAGGTCACATGCGCATTCATGAAAACCTGCAGTAGAGAATTGCCGGCTACACCACATCATCATAACTTCCCCCACCAACACCCGCGACACACAACATCGCCCATCACGAAGCACTCAAATGTCACCTGTCAATTAAGTGGGAAGTGCCCTCCCCGGCTCCTTCTCCGTGTGGCTACCCTGATGCACGTGCAATCAGAGCCTGAGACTATCGCGGTGCGTTAAGCGCCGTGGCTTGGAAAGTTGCCTACTGAGGCCCCGACTCAGTCCATATAGTCAGTCGAGTTGTGTGTGCATTTTTGTGAAGTGGCGGACTGATGGGCTGAGTTAAGTTACCGCAGCTCCTTAATGTGGCCTCTGGCACTCTCATGCGTGTGAGGAGTGTGTGTGTATGGGTAGTGCCTCTCAGTCGATTACTGACTGGTTACCGGACCTCTGAATGGTGATGGCCCAAGCTAAATGTAGGGCTGCGTCTCACCCTTCTGGGTCTTAAGGTGTGTATTCGTCTGATATGCCATGCTTCAGCAAACCGTGACTCTCGCAGCCTGTTTTGCGCTGGCAGTTCTCTGGCACCTGGTTCACTGCCGATAGATTTGCATGCGCTCCCGCTGGGTATACAGTTACGCCTGCGTGTGGGTCTGGCCGTGCCAGCCGCCTGAATTCTCAGTCACCGCAGGTCTTCTTGACTATTTCTTGACTCCGGGCCCAGGTGGGGAGGAAACAGTGCGATAGATGTTTCGTAAGTCTGCCATAGTTATAAGGTAATTCACGCTTAATTCATTGTGTATGCTTCAACTTGCTCTAGAGCACCCGGTAGACATCGTCGGACATGACGGTTGAAGTGCCATTTGGCGGCGACAGCCTCCTAGACCTAAACACAACGCAGCATTTACATCGCGCCACATTCCCAGTCAGCTAGGCAGCCCTATAATCGTGCGACAGTCATCTTTCTTTCAAATCACGTTGCTTTGTATTATACTACATAGTTTTGGGATACAACCTCGCTCACGTCGGTTTTCCACTTTCATCCGAAAACTCATATTGATCCACACAAAATTGAGGTATGTGAGCTAAAAAGCAGACAGTAAAGACGGAACTGCCTTCCGAAACACGCACACTAGAAGTAACATTATTGCTAACCCTAATGGTCACACGCATCTCTAACTTTTACGCCTGATCTTGTCCAATGCTTTCACTTGTCTTTGTTTGGTAAACAGTTCCTCCAAAAAGGACTGTTATTTCTCCATGTACCTCCGAATGCGCCATCTCCAATTATGTGCCATTAAAAGTATTTCTCGTTAGCACATACCGAAAGTGACTGGTGAGATACGCTCGAAGAAAACAAGAATACTTGGGTAGAATAGGGCAATGTCTTTCGGAGATGGAAATAACGGTGTTTACGAATTCCATGGACTGCCGAGTGCGAATAACCAGTACACAAAACGACACATTATTCCTTGCAGCCGCGAAACGTCGAAACCACAAACTTTGAGAATAACTGCATTTTTATTTTATATTTGGCTACAAATAAGTTCTTATCCGTCGGTTCTTTTCTGTAAACGCAATTGCTACTTGGAATAAACTACCCATGAGTGTGAAAACTCTGCAAAATTATCCTTTATTTAAGAGAACTATTACTCGATTTTTGCATTCAGAAAAGCTCCCACAAATTTTGGGTGCTGAATCTACTGATCGACTGTACCGTAGCGATGGCGTTTGTGGTCTCTGAACACTATGGCCGGTCTCACCAGCTGTTCCTCAACGCCTCTACTTTGACTATCCGCAACTTCATGAAAGGAATTTGACGTCCGATAATCTCCGATACCGTGCAACCTCTCCCCTTCTTGACGGTTGATATTCTACCACCGCCGGCAGTTTTTTCTCCTGAGCCCTCCAAACCACAAAAACCACCATCAACTATATTTTTATGCCTTAAGCTCAGGAGTTTTTTTTCACTGCTGGTCGGATTTGTGTTGAATCGCTTCCCTTGACAATGCCTGTATACTGGCATTAAATAAAAATTTATTTATTTATTTATTTATTTAAAGGTTGTGGATAAAGAAATTCAAATCTTCTGAGAAATCGCTCGCATAACGCAGAAACAGAGGGGCTATAAACACTCGGTTAAGACGACTAATGCGCTTTACTGCCGATCGACTGGACGATATAATCTTGCTTGTGATTTGTAAATTACGCAAGGTTTTCTAAGGCGAGGGACAAGGCTGTGTCAAAACCTACTATCTATTGATTTGATTCACTAACGACTTTGGGAAACTTAATGAAGTTCCTAAAAACTGCAATATTGGGCCCACGGAAATAAGTCTTTTTCTTCCGCAAATCGCCTTAAAAATTTTCAGGCTGCCCTTTAGTCTCGGCAGTGTAACTAAACGTTTTACTACCAATCGCTTGCTTGAAATTCCTCGAAGCACGCATGCCTGGATTAGATAAACTCTAAAATTTCTTTTAATAGGAAATGTGGGTACTTCTTCCGTAGGAGTGGCAGCAAATGCAGCCCGGTACTCTGATGCCCTTATCTTCCAGTTCTAAAGAGCATTCCTGTGCATTCCAGGGAGATGCCCAGACAAATCAAGGTTTACAACGTTGTTTAGGCGGCTCACTTAAGTCTGCCGTCTCTAGATAACAACGCTCATATCTGATGGTGGAATTAGCAAGACGGGTGAAACAAACATAGATGAATATGCCAGTCTCGTGTCCTTGTGGAAGAGAAGACACGAATACCCGGACGTCAGTTTTATTAACCCAACCTTTCGGATTCCTGCATGAGTCCATATTTTGAGGCTACGAAGGAACAAAACATGAGCAGTTTTGGACCCTAACAAGGCGTAGCCTCCTTTATGTGGAATACAAAGACGACAACGTGTTTGTCCCGTGAAAAAAACAAGATGGTCACTATGCGGGGCCGAAGATGAACTCTGATGTTTCCTCCGAAGAGCCACGGTTTAGACAAGTGACACTCGTGAAATGTGGCACCGGTTTATGGAATGGGTTGAAAAAGATA